AGAAAATTTGGTATATACTAAAGATATAAATTTACTTTTTTATTTTTAAAGATATGACTTTAGAAGTAGAGCTTTAATTTTAATGAAGTATATGCTTTATATTTATTTCATTAAGGATAGTGGAAATTTGATGCAAAGTTCTCAGCTGAGATGGCAGGGGAAGAGAAGTTATGGAAGACTAAGGAAGCATTAAAAGGTTTGGAGAGTCACTGTGGAGAATTTGAGAGTGAGTTGATAACAGAAGTATAGAAGGATTGCCTAGTAGTGGCGAGGACCCAGTTGAAGTTGTGACATAATTGGTAATGGACACAATCAGAATGGCTGTGTGATTTTCTCCACCTTCATTAAGCAGTATGCATGTAGAAGCAAAGGCAGAAGATGGTAGAAGTGATCCAAGTTTGAGGACAGTGTGAAGTTGAACTGGTTCACCAAGGGGACAATCTGGGGAAAAGAGGAAAGAGTGGCTAGATAAGGGGAGATGTCCTAGAGGAGAACTGAGGAGTTGAGGGATTGAAGGTCATCGTGTGATCAAAATGTCAAATTCGTTAGAGGAAGATGAAGGAAAGGTGGAAAGCCAATAGATTATGATCAGATAAGGGGGTTTCAGAACTCTTGAATATGGAAGTGATGTATTTGTGGCTAATGGCAAGATTAAGGATATGACCACCTTTGATTGTGACTGAGGTAGCATGGAGGAGTAGCTCATGAGAAATGAGCAGGTTGAAAAATTGAACAATTAGAGTGTTTGAGGAAGGGTCAATATGTATGCTGAAGTCCCCTAGTACGAAAGCAAGAGTTGGGGAGGAGAATATATGAAAATATACTAAATAACGAAGAGCGAAATGAGCAAAACCAAGAGAACACTGTATATAGTAACAGCAGTATTGTTTTAAGAATAATTTTGAGGGGGCAGCTAGGTGGCGCAGAGGATAGAGCACCAGGCCTGGAGTCAGGAAGACCTGAGTTCCAATCTGGCCTTAGACCAGGCACTTGACACTTACTGTGTGACCCTGGGCAAGTCACTTAACCCCAATTGCCTCACCAAAAAGAACAACTTTAAGCAACCAAGTCATTCTGACTATTATAAATATCCAAATTAACCTCAAAGATCCTATGAAGGAAGGTGCTGCTTGAATTCAGAAAGAAATATTGCTGTGCTGTAGGAAATGAACCACTTAATTGAGAAAACATGGAAAGACTTGGACTTATGAAGAAAGATGCTACCCACTTTCAGAGAAACAGATGACAGGATGAAATAAGCATAGTACGGTCTTACATATATATGTATGAGTATATATATCTATATAAATATATATCCATATATATCTATATATATAGATATATATATATATGTCTATGTTTATAGACACCTACGTATATGTGTGTGTATCCATGCTTAATTATAGCCTTCTTTAGAGTGGGTAGAGGAGAAAAATAAAGTAAAAAAGTGCACAGAAGAGAACAAGAGAAAACCAACAAGGAAGCAAAGAAAAGCTGGGCAGCACAAGATAGAAGGCATGTGGTCAGATAGGAGCCCCTGTTTCATTTCTCCTCTTTCTACCAAAGGCTGTAGATTAGGCAGGAGACAGGCAGTAGGAAATGCAAGTCCATTCCCCATCTTTTCCTCCTCCCTCAGGGGATAGGCAAAGTAGAAGATAGAAGGCCAGAGATCAGCCACTCCTCTTCTCATCTCAAGCTGAGGCTGGAGATCAGGTGTGTTTCTGCTCAGGGGGAAATGGAGATTGCATTGCACCTGGCCCCATGCCATCTTCCCTCAGAGAACATAGGCAGCAGGAGATGCAAAGACAGTTAGGATAAATGGCCACAGAACTGATAGGACCTGTATAAGGGTAAAAAAATGACTGAGGCTGCAGAGCACTGGGGTCCCTCAGCTCAATTACCTCTTATTGTTTTTAGAGGCTGAGAATTTAAAACTCACAATGTGGTAAATCAAATAACTGTTTGCAGACAATGGGATGATTAATAATAGCACCTATCTTTCAGGGTTGTTGTGAGGATAAAATGAGATATTTGTAAAGTGCTTTGAAAACCTTAAAGCACGTGATATATAAATGCTAACAGTTATTATACAGCATTTCAAAATTTGTGAAATACTTTACATGCCATTTCATTTATTCCTCACAACAACTTTTTAAATTATTTCACAGTATTTTAACAGATGAAACTGAGACTAAGAAGTTAAGAGACTTGCCCAGGTTCACATAGCTAGTGACCGTCAGAGGCAAGATTTAATCTCAGTTTTTCCTGATTCAAAATCCAGCACTCTATCTGCTTGTATCACCTACTTGCCTAAATAAGGACTCTTGATTTCATAAGAGGAAGGTGGATTTTATGAGTTTTACCTCATGAGGGAAAGATAAGTCACTGGGCCCCGGCAAGCTTTGATTTGAGTCACTAAGAGTGTTGAAGAAACCAGAGGGAACTATGTCAAGAAGACAGCAAGAGGTAGTTAGGAATACAGCAGGAGAGTCAACTGACGAAAAGCTTCAGCTGTCCCAGTAGGAGACGCTATCTGGCAGAAGAAAGGCTGAAGTCATAGGCAGAGAATTGAATTCTGCTTCTAGCCCTCCAGCACATTCTATTTTGCACAGCCCTTCCTCACTTAAATCCAATTCATTTGCAAGTCGTGGAATCACCTTCCAGATGTCAAGGTCCTCTTTGAGAAAGAAAAACAATAGCTTTAAATAAGTGAAACCTATCAGAAGTGCTGGCTGCTCTCCACTGCCATCTTCTGTTTGTTAGAGAAACAGAAGGTAGAAGAAAAGATTTACATCTGCTTTGCTGGCAGAAACAGGTTGGACAAACCAGGATCCAGTTGAATAAAGACCTCCCTGAGCTTGTCTACACCTGCCAAAGAGACAACCAGAAGGCCTCTGATGTAAGGGCATTGTTTAGCATGACCCCAGCCTAACACTTCCTAAGCACGTTTTTAAGGGTGATTGGGAGTTAAAAAGAGCTTGTCACTGCTTCGTCCATTTGAGAGAAGAGGGTAATGTTTTCTCAGTACAACAATGAGGATGAGATCACATGTGCTTCTTTCTCATATGCCTCAATGATAGATTTCTGTAAGTCTGTGCCCACTCTCTCCTCACAGATATTATGGGCATTGGTGGGAGAGGCTGACCTAGGTTTATGGGTTAACTATTTTGATTTTTTTTCCTTATCACTAAGTAAATGTTTTATGTTTAAGAGTTAATGACGTCATTATTATTACTGACTGATTCTCTATAGTTAGAAATCACAGTAGTGCAGCCTCAGGAACTACAGTAGTAAGTAAGAGGAACATATTCCTATTAGAACAGCCTTACCCCCAGTACCCTGAGAGAATCTGAGTTATAACTGCATAGTGGTGATTCTTTCTTGGGAATACCGACCTGTCAATGTGAAGGCAGGTTCAAGTGAGCTAGCCTAAAGAGAATGTGCAGACATGTCCCACATGAAGGGTTACACTGTGGGGAGGGTTCACATCTGGCATGCCATGTACTGGTTACATAAGTGGGAGGTAAGTTTTAGCAAAGGATGTTGCTTTGCCATCAGACTGGGACCCATTATAAAGTTTGTAGCCAGTCTACCTTCTTCATTGTTGTTGTTGTTTTTAAAGGAGGTGGCAAGAGCCCAGGAAAACCACTTTCACTGAGATTTTAGCCCAATTGCATAAGTTGGGCTGAACTTATTAACTCATAAACACATTTTGCATTTTAATACTTTAAGAATCATAAGAAACCACTGCTTATTTGAAGCTAGAACAGTGTTTCAAAGTATGTTGAGTAAGGTAGGAAATAAAATACAGTCTTTGGAAAACGTTCCAGCAGGCACACACCACCTGTTTCTGGGAAGGCTAAGGCTTCAACAAGGCTAAAACTGATTAGGTGTCCAAACTAAGTCCAACATCAATATGGTGAGCCCTCAGGAGTGGGGGACCACCAGGTTGCCTAAGGAAGGGCAAATTGGCCCAAGTCAGAAAATAGGGCAGGTCAAGGCTACTCTGTTAATCACAATGATAATGGGCCTGTGAATAGGCCTGGTACTACAAGCCTGAGCAAAATAGGGAGGCCCAGCCTCAGAAAAAAAAAGGAAGGGGGAGGGAGAGAGACAGAGAGACAGACAGAGAGAGAGAGAAATATTCTATTAGCACCTAGGTTTAAGGAAAAAGTGGTTGTACTCAAGAGCGCCAAGAATTATATATTATCCTGAAGCATAAATTAGGTGATCTAGAGGGAAAAGGTACAGATGCCTTTTTTGAGTTTTCAGGGTTTGCTTAGTGTGTTAAAGCATCATTTTAAAAATCATGACATCAGCATACTGCACAAGGACGGTAAATGCTTTATTTATTTATCTGCCAATAGAACTCCATTCATCCCACCTCCCGCCAAAAAATATTTTAAAAAAAAGAACCTAAATCACATTTTGTTTTGGCAAACTAAATAATTAATTTCACATTTTAAAAATAAGGTTCAGAACCCTATTGGAAATCACAAATGAGCAACAATAAAAAGAAAACAGAACACACACTTAGCTGCAGAGATCAGTGTGGTTGGGCCATGAACCATGAGTATTTTAATATTATTTATCATAGTGAGTCGATCAGAAAAATCCATTTACGTCACTCCAGCAAAACAAAGTCTCAGAGGAAGCTTAGCTTCCTGTTGACATATGCTTTGCCATGGATAACCAACCACGAGACACCTGTGTGGAAGACGAATATTATAATACAGAGAATGAACCAAAAGGGAACAATCGTGCCAACACAAAAGTGAGCTGCTGCAGACTCACTGTATCCATATCCTCTGGATTTAGGATTCACTTCTAATTCTTCTGTGACTATGTTAATTGGATTTTTCTTCGGAATGAAAACTGTTTTGTTGCCCTACAGAGAGAAGATGAGAGACTAGGGATACACTAAACAGACTCAGAATTCAAGTCCAGTGGACTTTGTGCAACAGACGCAATAAGGTGAGAACCCGTGATGCGCAATGAGATACGGTCTGTTTGAACTTGTTTATTAGAATTCTACAAGGGCACCTCTGCCAGGCCCTATTAATAATAATTCACATTTACAGAGCACTTTAAAGTTTACAAAGCGCTTTACATACATTATCTCATTAAATCCCTGTTTTAACATTCTTCTAAAACAGAACTGGTTTGTACGCATTTCTATAATGATGATGCAAACCTGATGCAAAGTATACAAGTGAATGAGTGTACATTCTTGAGGTCAGATTTAACGACAAAATGCACAACCTCAATCTCGATATGCCTTGAGACTTTCAGCTGCATATAAGTTAACATGGGCTGCATTTTCTGTGATCCATGCAGTAGATGTTTGGAAAAAATGAAGTTAGCAACCAGACATTCTTTAGCTACAAGACAACCACCAAGTCATGAGAGACCCAGCAGTGAAAATGAAAGCAGGGGTGACTGCAGCCACATCCTCGTCTGCAGGATATGTCTAGACAAGAGAGGTTGGGTCGGCCAGCAGAGGACTCAGCAGCTGCCTTTAGCTTTTCTCCTTGTAAGAAATGTGCGGTTAATATTATGCTTTCTTCCATGGCCTTCCCAGACACAATACAGGACTTCTCCTTTTTCATAAGCCTAACTGGCATCTGAGGCTTGAGATGAAGGCAAGCAGCCTTAAACGAGAAAGCTAAGAGAAATGTCTCATGGGTTTCAGACACTGGAGACAGCTCTCTATAGTCCTTAAGGCAAATGCCAGGAGTCAGAAAAGAAGAAAAACAGTCTCAAAATGTAAACAGTTATGTCACAAACCAAGGAAGTTATGCACCTGGATCAAAATTCCTTAACAAGAGGCCTACCCTGGCAACAACACCAGCGACATCTCTATTTCTGAAACAAGGAGGGATTTCCCTAGCTAGTGGCACTACACATACCATACCTGAGTAGTGACCACCTTGGACTTCAGAGGGGATAACAGTCCATAATGTTGCTATAAAAACTTAACACTGAGAAGCTACCCAAATACCCAAGCAGTTCGAGGATTATTATTCATTCATTTTTTTTACATTTTGCTTTTGTGGTTGGCATAGTATGGAAAACCAAACTGGGAAATCATAATGTTGGAATATTTTAAGGGCATGCTGTCATAGACCTTCACAAGCTTATTTATACAATAAGACCTCTGCAGGAAGTGATCTGCCCGGTGCCACATTCCAGAATAACCACTGCTTGTCTCTTTTTCTAAATTGCCCATTTCCACAGGCTTGACAAATACTCCTGAAGTCTTCCCGATGTGTTTGGCGACCATAAAGTTCATGGCGATGTCATCACAATTTTGGGTCTCATCTATCAAAGCATGGACAGTCGCTGGCTGTCTCTGGAACTGCTCGAGGTATTTGCGGTTGAAGAATGATGCTCCAATCAGCACCATGGAATACTGGTCCCCATTTCCAAATCCTGGTATTTGCAGCTCAAACCCACCATAACTATAAACACCTGAAGCAGTAGGGACGTGCTTTCTAGGGACAAATCCTACAATCTGATCAGGAAATTGCTGCAAGGAGGAGGGGAAGAGTAACACAATTACCGCAGAAGCAATTTAGAACAGACATGCTGAAGTCAGTGTGATATGCCAGAGGGAATTAAGCTGGCGTGTCACCTTTATTCCATTCCTGACATTGTTCGTTCTCACTTCCTGTCTAACTCTGGACAAGTAGTTTTATTTCTATCTGCAAGGACCACTCTGCAGGTCACATTCTACTGCAACACAAACCTCTTGTATAAGATGCAGATGGCCCACTTAATGCAAGCCTATCCATGTGATACTACAACTGGTTCAACAGAAGACTGTAGATATTCCCTGGGAGTTTGCTAAAAAAGAAACTGACTCTATAAAATGAGGCTGTAGACACTTACCATCTACTTAGAAGGATATAATGGATGGATATGATGGATATAATATATAGTAGAAGGAAACAATGAAGCTTGATGAGGTAACTTTAAAAATGTTTTGAGACTGGGGCAGCTAGGTGGTACAGTGGATAGAGCACTGGCCCTGGAGTCAAGGTGTACCTGAGTTCAAATCTGACCTTGGACACTTAACACTTACTAGCTATGTGACCCTAGGCAAGTCACATAACCCCTTTGCCCAGCCCCCTCCAAAAAAACAACAACAAATAAACCAAAAATACTTTGAGATTATAAGAAAGAAATATAAAATTATCAAAATATGGCTTGATTTTATGACTTTGTCTCAGTTTTGGTCTCCATATTCTTGACTTTTAGAAATCAATCAATCAAAAAGCTTTTAATGAGGGTCTTCTGTGTACCAGAAACTATGCTAGGCACTGGGGGATACAAAGACAAAAATGAAATCATTCCTGCCCTCAGGGCATTTATATTCTATTGGAGGTGACAGCTGGTACGTGGGCATATATGAAATGCGCACTAAATAGATACGAGGTGATTTTGTGGGTATGGTACTAGCAATTGGGGTGGGGAATAGTCAACAAAGGCCTCATGTAGAAGATAGTATCTGAACTGAGACTTGAAGATACCGGGTATTCTAAGAGGTGAGGAGGGAGTATATTTCAGGTATGAGGGACATCTAGTGCAAAGGGTAGAGATAGGAAAGGGAGTGCCATCTATGAGGAACAGTAGGAAGACAGAGTGCCTGGACTATAGAGGGTGTGAAGAGAAAAGGCGGACATGCAGATGAGGACCAGGATGTGAAGGCCAAGGCCTTGACTTCACTTTTACAACATCTCTTAAACATGCCCCCTTCTCTCCTCTGACATTGAGACCGCTCTAATGCAGCCTCTCATTTCCCACAGCCTGGACTACGCAATAGCAAAGCTCTGCCTGCCTCAAGTCTCTCTCCACTCCACTCCATCCTCCTTTTCAGCCACTAAAGTGATTTTCCTAAAATGCAGGTCTGATCATGTCAACCCCCCTTCTCCATAAACTCCATTGGCTCCCTATTGTCTCCAGGACCAAATAAAAAATGCTCTGCTTGATATTTGTAACCCTTCATAACCTAGCCCCTTTCTACCTTTCCAGTCTTCTTACAATTTGCTCCCCTACATATACTCTTTGATCCAGTGACACTGGCCTCCTGGCTTCTCCATGAAGAAGACTCATCTCTTGGCTCTGGGCATCTTCTCTGGCTGTCCTCCATTCCTGTAATGCTTTCCCTCCTCCTCTCTGACTACTGACCACCCCAGATTCCTTTAAGGCCCAACTAAAATCCTAACTTCTACAGGAAGCCTTTCCTAATCCCTCTTAATTTCAGTGCTTTCCCTCTCTCAATTAGTTCCTATTTATCCTGTATAATAGCTTACTTTGTATATTTTTTTGCACGTTGTCTCCCCCATTAGATTGCAAGTTCCTTGAGGGCAAGGACAGTCTTTTGCCTCCTTTTGAATACCCAGTGCTTAGCACAGTGCCTGGCACATAACAGGCACTTAAATGTTTATTGAATGAAGGAAAGAAGGAAGAAATGACTTTAAATGTTTCATTTTGGACTTCTCTTGGTTTGTGTGCTTCTCTTTTTTGAATGTAGGGAAATATAAAAACCTTTACTGGAAGTACAGAGGTTGGTAAAGCATTCTAGAACATCAAGAAAAATAGGACAGTTGACATTAAGAAGTTGTGTGGTTACAGTGGAAAGAATCCAGGTCTTACCACAAAGACGGGCTTAGAATTAGAATCCTAATGATGACACTTACTGAGAGACTATGGGTAAGTCACATAACTTCCTCGAGCCTCAGTTTTCTCACTTGGAAAAGGGGGATAACAATAACTGCATTCACTACTTCATAGGTTTGTTATGGGAAAGTACTTTTAAACCTTGCTGGGATATTTCTATTTACTACTATAAAAATAAAATGTGAAGCAATGAAGAGAGGAGGTTGTATGAAGGTCAGAAAAGAGGAAAAATGCTGGGTTCAAGGGCTACAGCAGTCCACTGAAGACTAGATTCTACAATTGCAGCGGAAATGGAAAGAAAAAAGTTGAAGGGGGAGGATAAGCATGGCAGTATCTTTTCCTGGGGATTTGGGGGCAACTTAAAATTCCTATACCAATGAACTAGAACCTTACCTCAGTAGATTTATAAATAAAGATTAAGATACTGTTTGACTGCCTGACATGCCCTCAAGTCTGCATGCTATTAAGAACTACAGCGCTTGTACTCTCTCGTGCTTTTTGGCGCTGGGGCTCACCGGAACGGTGCCCTTTGTTTCAAATAGCAATCTCTTCTTGGACCTTTTGCTTTTGTGTAATCTGTAAAAACAAGCCCTGCAATACTGCTGATGTGGCACCAAGACCTAGCTGTTGATCACAGGGAAGCTTTTATTTAGCCTGGCCTCCTCTGGCCCCTTTCATTAGATGTGATGTAAAAATTGAAGCTGTGAAAAAATGCTGATTGTTGCGGAGAACTGCGGCCACCTATCATGAATGAATATTTGATGAGCAGAAAATGTCTTAAGCAGCAAACTGAGAAGAGTTACTACAGTCAAAGCTGCTGTGTTTCTTTATTAGGAATCCCAATGTTTAAATGCCCTGTGCTGGTTGAGGGGCTGTGGGTTCAGGGTCAGGTTTGATTTCAGATGAATGTGTGAATACTAGAAAGAGTTAAGTAGAAGTCAGCTATTATGAATGCATATTCAGTGAGAGATTTTATAGACCATCCTATTATATAACATATGTATGTGTGTATGCATATATTTACACACACACATATATACACACATGTATACACACACACACACACAACATCCAAATTGTTATAACTGGGAATTAAGAAAAAAGAAGCTGACACTGTACTATGGAATATAAAAATTATTATAATAACAGCTGAGACCTATATGATGCTTTGAAGTTTGCAATATTATCTCATTTAAGTGTCAAAGCAACTTTGTGAGGGAGGTACTTATGGATCTATGATTAGCCCATTTTATACATGAGTAAAATGAGGTTCAGAAACTTAGGTGACTGACCTGGAGTCACACAGAGGGTAAATAAATATTACAAGTGGGCCTTGAAGCAAGTCTTCCAGATTTCAGGTCTAGCACATTATCTATCCACTAAGCCACACTGCCTGGTGTGCACGGCAGACTTACCAATTCCTTCTCCCCTGATGCATAAGCTGCAAGGGCCAGGGCCCATATTGCTTGTTCTCGCAGGACTTCATCACAGTAAGTATTTGACTAATATTTGGCAAAATATTAGCAAAAATAATATTAGCAAAAGCTTTTGGCTGAGGTTCACACTTAGGAAAGGGGATTCTACGAGATCTCCCTTGAAATTCAGCTTAAGCTCTCTTGCAGTGGTGACAACTAACACCTCTAGGGAAAGTTCTTCACAATCCTCTGATATCTACCCTCATCAAGCAGTCACCGGTATATACCAAGGAAGGAAACAAAGTAATGTTTGAGGTTAAATTTTAACTTATGTCTTTGTGACGCCAGGCTCAGCGCTCATCCACTGTGTCATCCAGTTGGCTCTGATTCTACGTTATACACCTGATAGCATGTTTGATACCACTGATTTAAACAGAGAGATCCCCTAACCTTTATTCCCCTGGACTCTAACATACCTTTTTTTGGGAGGGTGGGGTTGGGGAGGCAATTGGAGTTAAGTGACTTGCCCAGGGTCACACAGCTAGTAAGCATCTGAGACCAGATTTGAATTTAGGTCTGACTCCAGAGCCAGTGCTCTATCCACTGTATCACCTAGCCGCTTGGCACACAGTAGGTCTTAATTTCCTCATCTATAAATAGGTGTGTTGGCGGGGGGGGGGGGTTATTGACCCCTTGAATATACTGTTTTATTTTCTCACTTCATAAATATAAGTTTTGCTTCTTCCTCAACAAGAGGCTAAGTTACTGGAAAAGTAGGCCCTCGGTCTGATACTTTGGTCTCACCCACTGTGCTAAAAATGCTGTAGGCTGATTTAATGCCAGCAGATTCTCTTCGCTTTAAGACAGAGTTCAAATCTCATTATAACAAACAGCACTGTTACCAAAACCACTGTATATGAACAACAAAATTCCAGAGTCCTAGACAAGGACCCATTTATTTTGGATACAACAAAATTCCATTATGGTTAAAAGCTCTGACTGGTCTCTCAGTTTATTGCAATGGTCTGCCCAAAATGTATAGAAAAAGGAAGAGCAGAGAAATGGTTTGTAAAATCCTTTCTATTTTTATAAAATTTTAAAAGTTTACAAAGTGGTTTCCTCATGATAATAATCTTTTTTGATTGACTGACCAATTGAGACAATCCAATTATTACTAATTTTTTATATATGAGGAAACCAAGTGTGAAAGAAGTCAAAAATTAAAGAAAAAATAACCCCCTTCAGTCTTTGATTTTTCCTTCTTGCTAAAGGGAAAGAAAAAAGTCCAGGGTGGGGGGAGGAAATAGCTTTTACTGCCCTCCATTCACTTGTTTTCCTTCTCCTTTCCTTCCAACCCCATCCCCAGAAGGCAGCTAATTACAGTATGTAACTAGAGTGCTGGATTTGGGGTCAGAAGATTTGGGCCCGAACCTTCTTTCTACCTATTTGACCTGAGCCAAGTCACTTATCCTCTCTGAACATCATTGTCCTCACCTGTAAAATGAGAGGGTAGAGCTAGATGGCCTTGAAGGACTTTTCTGACTTTAAATCAATAATACTACGACTTTAAATCACTAGACTCTCCCACTTCCTCACAATCCTCTCAAGTATTTTTCAACTCTTCCTCCCTAGCACACAATAATACTGTTCCATATCAAAATAGGTCTGAGATCCAGTTTGATCCTACTACTGTTCAATCTCATTTGACTTCAGACAAGTGGTTCTATTTATCGAACAACTTTCTCCATTCTTTGAGCAATCCAACCATAGTCTACTTTTTATTACATGAGACTTTAAAAGATACCTTTATGAAGCAAGAACCAACATTACCTGCCAAACTGAGAATGCAAAAACGAGGTCATGAGCGCTAATTAGCATGTCATCATCCACCATTAAAACGGCTGAAAAGAAAAGACATGAAACTGTTTGAATCCAACAGCTTGGAAATGAAACTCAAAAATTAGGGAAAAGGCAAAGGCAAGAGGATTTACTCATGAAGCTCTCCTCTGTATCAAGCTTCTAACTGAAAAAATTGGCAATAGTGGCAGGGCCCAATTAAGCACCAGTATTCCTCAGGACAGCTGCCGGTAGGGAAAAAAAGTTGCTAATTGAGCCATAGTTGATTTTTGTAATGGCTCAAGAACAAAAAAACGATCACTTAGCAAGCTAAGGAAATGACAAATAATATAAATAATTGTAGTGGAACTTCTGTCTCACAAAAATGTCCCTAAAACAAAAAGTTTATCTGGCCAGGTTGACAGTAGTGGAAAAAAATGTTAAACAGAGCAAAATAGGATTTAAGTACTTGTGGATACATAACAATATACTTATAGAATAAATTGAATTTCCCCCCATAATATAAGCCTCTATGATAGTATTACGTGGCTCTTTTCCTAACCCTGAAGTTTGGCGACATCAGGGAAATGAGTCCTTATTCTTTACAAAAGCACTCCCTGATGAGTCAATTCACCACCCTTAATGACACCTCAGACAGGTGAGAAGACTGAAAACCCAAGCTTGCTCTATTAGCAGCCTGGATCCCACTGAGAACACAGATGCTCCTTACCTTTGGTTTCCAGTTCCGGGAAGGTCTGGAGTCTATTTCTCATTCTGTTCACAGTTTGTATTTTGAAAATCACAGGGACAGGATGAGGCCCAAGGGCATTCCACAAGTCCTCTGGCACCTTCTCTCCAATGTTGTTCCAGACGACAATCACTTTGTGTAGATGAGGCACCGCTTGGTAATGATTTAACAGCCTCAGCAACAGATCTGTTCTGTTGTACGTCTGCATGATGAGAGTAAAGGAATCCAGGGCTGACTGGCTCTGGGGTTTTGCTTCTCTGCGGGAAGTGGGCATTTTATCATCTTTTATGTTAGGAAGCAAGGTAGTCAAAGCACCTGCCACCAACAGTAACACAAGGATGATGATGGAAGAGAACCGGAGTAATCGGATTCCCATCACCCTCCCAGGAAGTTTGCAGATGTGGTAACACCTGTAATGGAAATTGAAATGAAAAGGAAAGGTATCCATCTTAGTAATAGCTAGATTTAATTTTATTTTTTTGTAGCCGAGAGAGTTCTATTCAGATGATTCCAGCTAAGAACAAAAACAGCTCCTTGAAATTGCAGAAAAAGTTAGCGATTGGATTTTTTTTTCTTCTTGAAGCATTCAGGTTAGTTGCTTGCTCAGCTCAAACTCACCAAGTAGTTATTAATTCTTCCCTTCACTGGGGCTGGAATTGAATTAGTCTAAGGAAGATAAACTTGCAATTTATTGCAGGCAGAAGATCTCGGGCACAGTAGAAAGGAAAAACGAGGCATTATTTTGCTGTTGTCACTGCTGTTAGTTTGCCTCAATTTGTTTCTAAAAATTCTCAGCACGCTTCTATGTGTGATACAATCTCATTTACTAGTAAGGATTCTGTTCACTTCATTTTAGTTTAAGTCATTTTATTTTTAAGTCTCTTTATCTGCTCGCTCCCTACTAGATGATGACTTCCTCTAAATTTTTGTTAAAATCAAAACCTTTCGTAGAAAATTGGGAAAGAATTTTTACAATCAGTCTCTCTGATAAGGACCTCATTTCTAAAATATATAGAGAATTAAGTCAAATTTGTAAGAATATAAGCCATTCCCCAATTGATAAATGGTCAAAGGATATGAACGGGCAGTTCTCAGATGAAGAAATTAAAGCCATCTATACTCATATGAAAAAATGCTCTAAATCACTCTTGATTAGAGAAATGCAAATCAAAACAACTCTGAGGTACCACATCACACCTATCAGAATGGCCAACATGACAAAACAGGAAAATGATAAATGTTGGAGAAGATGTGGGAAAATTGGAACACTAATGCATGATGGTGGAGTTGTGAAATGATCCAACCATTCTGGAGAGCAATTTGGAACTATGCCCAAACGGCTATCAAAATGTGCATACCCTTTGACCCAGCAATAGTACTTCTAGGGCTATATCCCAAAGAGATCACACAAACGGGAAAAGGACCTACATGTACAAAAATATTCAGAGTAGTTCTTTTTGTGGTGGCAAAGAATTAAAAATTGAGAGGATGCCCATCAATTGGGGAATGGCTGATCTAGCTGTGGTATATCAATGTGATGGAATACTATTGTGCTATAAGAAATGATCAACAGGCTGACTTCAGAAAAACCTGGAAAGACTTGTATGGTCTGATGCTGAGTGAAGTGAGCAAAACCAAGAGAATGTTGTAGACAGTAACAGCCACAATGTGTGATGACTAATATTGATAAACTTAACCCTTCCTGGCAATGCAAGGATTTAAGACATCTCCAGAGGCCTTGTGATGGAAAATGCTATCCACACCCAAAGAAAGAACTATGGAAGTTGAATTGCTATTTTTTTTTTCTCTTCTGTTGAGTTTTGTTTCCTCTTTCTGACGGTTCCTCCTATTGGTTTTAATTTTTACTTACAATATCACTAATGTGAAAATATGTTTAATATGAATATAAATGTATAGCCTATATCAGATTGTGTGCCATCTTGGGGAGAGTGGTAGGGAGGAAAGGGGAGAAAAATTTTAAACTCAAAAGCATATGGAAATGATTATTGATAAATCAAAATAAATTAATAAAAAATAAAAATAATAAATAAAAAAGAAATTATCAAGGAAAAAAATCAAAACTTTTCTAGCCATATCCCATTTGATACCATGGTGCTAGACTGGTGTTTCGTTAAGTTCACAGTGTTTGTAATTATCTTTGTCATAGCTTCTTGATATTTCTTATATTACTTCGTATTGACTTGTCTGTATATGCGTTGAATCTTTCCCACCCCCTAGAATCTTAGTTCCTTGAAGGCAAACACTATTTCATTTTTATCCTGATGTTCCTGGGACTGAGCACAGGGCCTTGCTATATAGTGGGCACGTTGTCAATATTTTTTAAGTTGAATTATCCAGTCACTCCTCCATCTTATGTGTAATTGATACCAAATGCAATAAAATACTTACAATTAGAAAAGTGTACATTGGGATGTACTTGATAGACATAGTTCCAATACTTTAACAGAAGAGCTATACGTACTCAGTTCAATAGTACAGATCATCACAATGCCTTCTAATCCTCCACAACTTCTCACTGATCCTCCATAACTGGTCCATCCAATGTGCTAGAGCTGTTCTCCTTTGTATTTATTATACAGATACTGCTACAACACTTGGGTCGTCCATCTGTTATTCCTCCTTTTATCTACCAACTCTTTTCCAATCATATATCTTTTCCAAAAAAAATTTCCCTTTTCCAATCATACATCTCTTTGATATCTTTAACAAAACTTCTGGTGCTCAAACCAATGTAGAAATATGCTACCCCACTGTGCCCATCTCTCCGTCTCTCTCTGTCTCTCCGCTGCTCTTTGGAATCACTTGCAATTTTTATTCTCTGCAATTTGTAATGCTCTATGATTCATAGTCCAATAGCATCAATACAAAAATAATGATATTAAAATTGTTTTTGTATGATGGAGCTGCTTGATTGTTGAAAGCATTACATAATTTCTTAAATGTGATCCATCCTACTGTTTTTCCTCTTCAATTATAGGCCCAGTTCACTGTCCATCTACAATGTATGTCCACGTGAAGGGGAGTATAATGAAGCTAGCAAAGAAGGCTGAAGCTAATCACCAAACAGACAAGTAGTTTGTATTTGATCTAGAAGCAAGAGGGAGCCATTAGAGCACACTGAGTATGGGAGTGATAAAGCTCCACACCTGATAATGGAGAGGGTATTTCCTCTCCACTGTGGCAAGACCTCAAGGTGAGTTTCTCCCTTGATCTGTCCTGCTCTTTTCCCCAGCAGCAGATTCCCCAGCAAGGGTCACCCCTTGTGGTCTCCCAGGTCCTCTGTCTACATCCCACAGGAGGATGGAGGGGTGTCCTAATATCTAAGATTTTCCCCTCTTCGCAGCAAGCCCTTTCTCCCCGACTTGGTTTTTAAGAGTTGACTAGAAGGCATCTTTTATGCTCATGGCACTGGGCACATTTCACGGTGTTTGACCCAGGTGCCTGAATTGCTAGTTACAGGTCTGATTACAACTAAGTCTCGCTAAAGTTATATCATATTATATTGGCATATTGAAAAACCACACCCCCCCTGCCTGTTTGGGCACTTTTTATTGACTGAAACAACAGTTTTCCATGTATAACACGACCTCTTAACTTGGGGGTCTGTGAACTTTTAAAAATAATTTGATAACTGCATTTCCTTTGTAATCCTATCTATTTATTTTATGCATGTATAAACATAATTCTGACAAGGGGTCCACAGGCCTGACCAGATTGCTAAAGGAATTCAACACATGCCCAAACAAAAGGTTAAGAAGCTCTAGGCTTAATATTTTAATCAGACATAAAAGAGAGGGGTCTTTGTGAGCCAAAGAATCTCAAAATTAATAATCATGATACAGTAGGAAGAGTACTGGCACTGAAATCAGAGGACTTGCATTTAACATTACTTCTCGACATTTACTTCCTGTGAGACCTTGGGCAAGCCACTCCAACTCCCTGGGCCTCTGTTTCTTCATCTGTGAAATGGGGGTTAGGGGTTGGAATAGCTGGCCTGTAAGCTCCCTCACTTCTCTTGATGTATATTCCTGTGATCCTAGGAATATACCCAACTATGGGCCATCCAGTCTATGTATGCTCGAAGAAAGCCCTACTTCCCACAGGCGGACCATTCCATTATTGGGCAGCTCTAAACATTAAAAAGTTGTTTCCAAACTGAAATTGGCTTCCTTGCAACTTCTCTCCACTGTTTCTAGGTCTACCCTGTGGGGAAAAATAGAACAAATCTATTTCCTCTTTCACATGACAGCCCTTCAAATAGTTGAAGACATTTATCACTATTTACTCTAAATCAGCTTCTCACAGTCTTCTCTTCTCTAACCTCAATATCCCCATTTCCTCTGTGTGACCCTGGGCAAGTCACTTAATTCCGACTGCCTTACCAAAAAGCAAAAACAAAACAAAACAAAACAAAAAACAAATAAAAAAATGTTTCCTTCAATCAATTCTTAAATGGCAAAAAAGGAGATTATTGGGGAAAGTGGCATGCAATTTAGGTAAGTGAAGCAAAGAAAAACTTCTGCTTTCCCCTTAGTCACAGTTCCCATAGAAAGAATTAGCATTAGTCAAGATGCTGATTTCTTTTTTCCAAAGTCAAGTATTATACAAGCAATATGCCTACAAATTAATCTTCCCAGTTAAAGGTTATCTTTTCTGACCTTCTAAACATTTTTTTCAGTTGAATCAAATGATTTTTTTTTAATCGGGGTCACAAATAGTATACCAATCAAATGCTTCATGGAGTAACCTTGTCTGAATAATGATTAGTTTTCAAGGGCAGCTCAGTTGAGACTTTAGAATAAAACATTCACCTTTCACACATCTTCTCCTGCCTCGGCCCTTCAAAGTGTATTTTTTATGAAAACAATATATGTTGTTAATGTTCTCAATCAAGAGACAAACTGCTGCCAGGATTGAGGACCTTGAAAAGTTCCTTGTAATGTAGAATCAAAAGCAAGTCCCCTATAACATATATTTTAGCTCTGGGGAAAAAAAAAAAAAAGTTTGGGTCTAGGCTTTCCCAGCAATTATTTCTGATAATTCCTCCACAAAACATCCTGATTAGGATCTTTATGTCTGTCCTTAGCAGCAGAGGAGGAAATAAATGTATTGTACAACTTGTATGGAGAAACTTTTTTTTTTTTGTTAGGCAACGGGGTTAAGTGACTTGCCCAGGGTCACACAGCTAGTCAAGTGTTATGTGCCTGAGGTCGCATTTGAATTCAAGTCTTTCTGACTCCAAGGCCAGAGTTCTATCCACTGTGCCACCTAGCTGTCGAAACTACCCATTTTTGAAGCAGAAATCAGTAAGTTACCCATTGGCAATTCTGGTCAAGAAAAAAATAAAAGCTACTTGATATTGTAATTTTAATGTTGTAACAGTCTATTA